TCCTGCTTTTATGCTTCCGTCCTTTAAAATTAATGACTAGAACTTTGCTATAAATAAAAATCTATCATTTTTAAAAGTCAATCTCTAACACTAGCTCCTCTCTACTTAATGAACCGTGAAGAATCAGGCTACCCTGACCTGCATCATATCTTAAAATCATACTTGAAAAACAGGATCTCATTTAAAAATTCTGCTTCATTTGGCTGCCTTAACTAATATCTTTTTACAGGACAGACACCACACACATGCTTTTTGGGGGAGGCAACATTAACTCCTTGACTGCTTTGGATTCAGTGGGGTTGGCTGCAGGAACTGGTGAGCCTTGATTTTTTTTATTTGTTTTTTTTTTTAAAAGCTGATGCACATCTGCAGAAGACAAACACTTCTTCAGAGTGCTGCCTCACGGACCAAAGACCAGCTTCCAGAGAGGCTGGGGAGACATCCAGAGCAGGGCTCGGCACAAGCAGCAGACAGAGCTGCCCGCGTGAGGATCTGCTGCCAGCCGTGCGCTTGAGGCACCCGTGCAGAAGATGCACTTGGTCAGTCCCCAAACATGAGCTGATGAAGGACACCTTCCCCGAGAGAGGAAGGAGAAGAGTCAAAGGACACAACAGCCATGCTTCCCGGAAAGCACAGCTTCACCACACCCCTGCAGCAGACTGCGGGGTGGGAATCCAAACGCCTGGGGTGCGGAGTCCAGAGATGCCCTCAGACCCCCCGATGGTGGGAAGTCTGTGCCTTCGTTCCACCGCTGAGCCTGACTCCCTGAGCTGGTGCAGCAGCCCTTTCGCACCAATGGATTTGTGATTCCACTCCAACATTCCCGAGAAGAGATAATAATATTGCTCATACTTGGCTGCCTCTAACAGCCAGATTCCCTGATTGCTTGAGAGATTAATAGAACTGTATTATTTACATCAGATGTCGCACAGAATAATATTATTAAAGCTTTGTCTTACCCATTTACCAATTCCACTGTAGATTAGTAGCATGGATTTTTTTCCTCCCCATAAAAGCTTTGTTCCCGGCAATCAACATAATATTTTCCAGTGATTGTATGGAAATGAATGCAGCCACAGACCAGATTTGTACAGATGAATAGAAGGTCCTGTTAGTCATTTTGTAGCTAAGTCTGTTTATTTCCATGATGAATTTAGACTAGTTTATTTTATTTGTCTTGATTTGAGCAGCTGCCAAACCGTTATTTTATGACAGAGGAAAGGAAATAGCATTATTCTATTGCAGTTGCACGTGGAGAGCTCCTCAACATACCTCAAACATCACTGTCCCGAGCGCTATTCCGATATGCCGCCCTGGAGACCCCACTCCCCAAGATGACACCGTTGAGGAACCATAGTCACGGTGTCCATTGCCAGCAGAGACACAAACAGAACCAGACCATTAATGGATCTCTGGAGAGGAGGTTAGGCAAGAACCACAGCTACAACTGTCTCAAGTGGTACCAGGAGACAGGAAGATCTGAGGTCAAGGCAGAAACAGTATCTTTTCAGAAAGAAACTAAAAAGTGTCAGGACATGGAAAACATCAGCCAGGAGTAAACTCACCAAAACCTAGCACACTCCCACTAGTTCTCAAACTATCCTTCAAACCCACTTGTTCCTCAAAAAGAAACCTTCAGGGCACAAGACCAACCCCTGCCCAACTTAACTTCCTTCTGCTCCAAACTTTCTCTCCTTTTTTGTTTTGTCTTGCCTTCCAGTTTGGGCTCCTTTTGTTCCATCCTTTGGAACCCACACACACTCCACCGATTTATCTCTCACCCTTCATCTTACCCTGGGAGCGCCATTCAAGATCTTGCGTGTGACAGTTTTTCTAGAGCAATGAAGATGTGTCTCCCTCATGGAGCTACTCTTTGTAAACTTTATACCCAAATCTATCAGTACAAGACTAGAGGTGCCTCACAGCTTTTCATAGGGTGTTGCTTGAAAATGAATTTAAAATGGAAACGGACACAGCACATTTGAGAAGTTTCCACGGTCCGTTCCTGCGAGCTGCTAAAGAACAGCTAAAAAGCTGCCAGAATTGCTGATCTTCATCAGAAGCTTCATACTTGACTTTATTTTTTATCCCCATTTCTTTCTGCCCTTTTCAACAGGTTCACCAGGCTGTTCCCAGCTTCTCTGATTCCCTTTGCCCAGGGATCACTGCACTGGAAGTTTTTAAAATCAGCAGCTTTCAAAACCTAGTACTTGTCAAGCCATGTCTCCTTGTTCCAGTTCACTCAAAATTAATTAGTAATTTTTAAGTTATTAGACGTGACTCAACGCATCCTTGGACGGCATCCACTATAAAAATGCATTCAGCCTAATTACATCAGCCTTTCCTAAAACCCCACAGCTCTTTCGGTCAGGACACAAGAAAGCGGGGAACAACCCAGCTGTTTGCTTGCTCATCCCATTGCTACATCTGAGCTACCTTACCCACTCAGGTACTCTCAAACACAACAAACTCCAATCCATCCCTAGATTGCTCACCATTCTGAAGAGAAATCTCCCGTTTCCTATTCAAATTAATCTTCAGCTCCATTTTCTCTGTTTATATTGTTTGAATATAAAATAACCTCAACATTTAATACATCTAGATACTGCATTCCAGTCTATTACCCTATTTACATAGCTAAAAGAAGCATTTTTATTGCTTGAATTATCTACGGTAGTTTATGACAGATATTTCAATGCTATGATTGTTCTAACCTTGAAATCTTATCAAGGAGTGCAACTTTTATGATATAAGGCCGTACATTATCTTCTCATTCCCAACTAATTTTCATTCCTAATAAAAAAGAAAAGAAAGCAAGCCAGCCATGCCAGAGCAGGCACTTATAGCTGCTGAATACAGTTATTACAGCAAGAATAATTTATAAATCCCAATGAAAGGATGCTACATAGAGCAAGCAAAAAACAAAACCATTGACCTGAACTACTTGGCTCAGTCACCACCACACACTCATTTCCAAATTAATCTCCAACATTCTTTTCTAACCCTTCTTGCTGTTTTCCTGCATTTTGTGAATCCAGTGGGGGCTGGAAGTCAAGACAT